ATTAAATATTATTAGGTACATACTTTGAAGCAACTTAAATTATGTTGAATGGACTTGGGCTCCTTCAAATTTTATAACGAACCTGGTTGTTAATTTCGAAAGTGGCCTAACTCCATTCTTGGTAAGAAAACGCCACTATTATTCACTTAATAATTGCTATTATTTAATGAACTCCACATTCGTCGAAACACAAAATGATTGCGATTTCTTCACGACGTGTACAGTCCTTGAAAACAGCTGATCGGTTAAATTTTACAGGGATTTCCCGTTTTAAAAATATTATTGCTCTATTATACGATCGATGAAAGGTTGTTTCTTTACTTTTTATTTTTCATTTTATTTTATCTTTTATCAATTGTATAAACTTTTGTCGATAAAATTTGGAGAGCGCGGAACGACGCGCTAATTTCTCCCTAATTCGCGCTTCGATCGCGCCCAAAAGCGGACAATTTGGCGAGGGGAGACACGATTATTTGAGTCACTCGCGAGTCATTTCTATAGTTACCGATTGTCAACAACTGTTAGCACAAATTAGGGAGAAATTATTGCACATTCAATCTCGGAATCTTTCAATTCCCAGTGATCTGAGTGATCCCGGATTTGGCAATACTCCCCCCGACGGTTTAGAGGATTTTTGTGGTCACTGGCCGGCCTTAAAATTCCCGATGGCGAGAACAGTGGTGACGTGAAACGGTTCACGCGCGAGATCTTTGAGGAAATCGACGGATTTATGGTCCCCGGATAGAATATCATTCTGCCGGGTGTCGGTAATCGATGAACACGTCCGGTCGTTCCGTGATCCTTTATCGAGGGAGAATAACGCGGATTCGCGCTGGCAATTTAGATGCTTGATTTGTTGCGCCGTCCGGGGCTCAACAATTTCCCCAGTTAAATATACTGTGCCTTATGGAATCATTATTGATCGATCGGCTGTCAGCGGCATTCGTGCACGGAATCACGCTTCGCGGTGGATTTATACGGGTCGCGTGCATTCACCGAAAACATTGGCTACAAATAGCACCGGCGGCGATCGCGTGGATCCGTCGCAGAAGGACGTTGACGAGTACAGTAATGTCTCCCTAATTGACGCTCAGATTGCGCACAAATCAATTTTGGAAGAGGAGATACGATTGTTCGAGCCTTGTGGCTCGTTCTTTTTTTTTATGGTTATCGATTGTCAGCAACTATAAAAACGAGCCGCAAGGTTCGATTAACCCTTTGCACTCGAGCGGCGACTCTGAAGCGCCGCTTAAAAATTGCTATGCTATTTTTCAAAATAATTGTAACAGTATCAGACTCGTTTATATCTAAAAGACTGTTAAAATTACAAGTTTTGTACTTGCCAATAGGCTTTCGTATACAGAGTGTCCCAAAAATGTCTCGCAATCCGGAAATGGCGGGTTCCTTGGGTCATTCGAAGCAACTTTTTCCGTTACAAAAATGTTCTCCGAGGCACCGTTAACGAGTTATTAACGAAAAACAATGACCAATGAGAGGCGAGCTCGGCTGGCGCGAGGCGACCGAGCCAATGAGCGGGAATTGGGCTTCGTGCGCTGGTTGGCTGGGCCGCCTCGCGTCAGCCGTGCTCGATTCTTATTGGTCACTGTTTTTCGTTAATAACTTGTTAACGGTGCCTCGGAGAACATTTTTGTAAAGGCAGAAGTAGCTCCAAATGATACGAGGAACCCGCCATTTCCGGATTGCGAGACATTTTTGGGACACCCTGTACATGAATCGCAATAAATCATATAAAATAGAAACACTGNAAACGGTTCACGCGCGAGATCTTTGAGGAAATCGACGGATTTATGGTCCCCGGATAGAATATCATTCTGCCGGGTGTCGGTAATCGATGAACACGTCCGGTCGTTCCGTGATCCTTTATCGAGGGAGAATAACGCGGATTCGCGCTGGCAATTTAGATGCTTGATTTGTTGCGCCGTCCGGGGCTCAACAATTTCCCCAGTTAAATATACTGTGCCTTATGGAATCATTATTGATCGATCGGCTGTCAGCGGCATTCGTGCACGGAATCACGCTTCGCGGTGGATTTATACGGGTCGCGTGCATTCACCGAAAACATTGGCTACAAATAGCACCGGCGGCGATCGCGTGGATCCGTCGCAGAAGGACGTTGACGAGTACAGTAATGTCTCCCTAATTGACGCTCAGATTGCGCACAAATCAATTTTGGAAGAGGAGATACGATTGTTCGAGCCTTGTGGCTCGTTCTTTTTTTTTATGGTTATCGATTGTCAGCAACTATAAAAACGAGCCGCAAGGTTCGATTAACCCTTTGCACTCGAGCGGCGACTCTGAAGCGCCGCTTAAAAATTGCTATGCTATTTTTCAAAATAATTGTAACAGTATCAGACTCGTTTATATCTAAAAGACTGTTAAAATTACAAGTTTTGTACTTGCCAATAGGCTTTCGTATACAGAGTGTCCCAAAAATGTCTCGCAATCCGGAAATGGCGGGTTCCTTGGGTCATTCGAAGCAACTTTTTCCGTTACAAAAATGTTCTCCGAGGCACCGTTAACGAGTTATTAACGAAAAACAATGACCAATGAGAGGCGAGCTCGGCTGGCGCGAGGCGACCGAGCCAATGAGCGGGAATTGGGCTTCGTGCGCTGGTTGGCTGGGCCGCCTCGCGTCAGCCGTGCTCGATTCTTATTGGTCACTGTTTTTCGTTAATAACTTGTTAACGGTGCCTCGGAGAACATTTTTGTAAAGGCAGAAGTAGCTCCAAATGATACGAGGAACCCGCCATTTCCGGATTGCGAGACATTTTTGGGACACCCTGTACATGAATCGCAATAAATCATATAAAATAGAAACACTGTAGATCAGAAAATATGTTTAAAATATAATTAAAATAGTTTCGAGTGCAAAGGGTTAATCGTGACTCCTCTTCCCAAATTGTCCATTTCTGTGCATAATCTGAGCGCGAATTAGGGAGACATTACTGATCCGTGGTCCGATTGCCTTATCTTGAGATCGTCGACAATCATCTGATTGAAAGCCGGCCGGCCGGCCGGCTTATCTGTCTTTTTTTTTTTGCATTTCCTCCGTCGAGCTCTCGTCCGCGTATCTTCCACGGTCTCACAACGTGCCATTCGCTTCTTTTTCGCGACTTCGGTAAACGCGCAGCAAACTCCGTCCGGATGAAATGATCGCCGATGAAAACGTTGTTGGCGATCCCATTGTGTCGGGGCGGACACTCGCAGCGCCGACGAAACTCGATGAAAATATTGTCGACGATATCATGGTAAAAATCCGATTGATCTGCAGCTACCGGCTGCAGTTTAATCACTTTTTTTCACCCCGCCCCCCCCCGCCGTGTTGTTTTTCGAATCGGTAATATCGCTCGAATACTTTTCCGACGATCTCGCCGGATTACACGCGGCTTACGTGATATTTATCCAGCGGAAGCAGAAATTAACGAACGGTGCTTTCAATTCTGCGGCATGTAGAATGCTAATGGGCGTACAAAGCCGGCGCGGCGCGGAGCGGCGCGTCTAATCGCTTCGAGAATCATTTCCACGTTTCAAACCGTATCGGACGTACGGTTTCGTTCCATTAAGAGGAATTCACGGTCTTCCGTTGCACGGCAAATGCGATTCGTAGATACGACTTTTATAAGTCGTTTCTTGTATCGGCTTGGCAGGAAAGTAATTTTGGTACTTCTCAATGTGAAATAACACTGCATTTTTTCTATACTTCGAGCTTCTCAACGAGTTCGAGACAGCTTATGCGATATTCAATTGTTGCGTGCGATGCATTTAATCTCTTTTTGTAATCTCTTGTACAGTTATACGACGATTCGATTCGATTATGGCTTTGATGTTCTCATCGCCAACTTCAGAAGGTCGGCCGGAACGTTGGCCATCTTTCAGTGCAAAATCTTTAGAATGAAATTTTTTGACACGCGCGTTCTGTTAAGCAAACGATGCTCAAAGCTCAAAGCTAGAAAGCTAAAAAGCTCAAGCTCAAAAGCTCGCAAGCTGAAAAGCTCAAAGCTCGCAGCTGACAGCTCAAAGCTCGCAGTTGACAGCTCAAAGCTCGCAAGCTGAAAACTCAAAGCTTGTAAGTTGAAAAGCTCAAACTCGCAAGCTGAAAGCTCAAAGCTCGCAAGCTGAAGGCTCAAAACTCGCGAACTGAAAAGCTCAAAGCTCGCAAGCTGAAAAAGCTCAAAGCTCGCGAGCTCGATGCTAAGAAATCAGAACCAATTCTTGCCAACCCAATAGAAACCAACCATTTTCCTTGAATCTTTCAAGCGTCGATAAACATCTTTTTCAGCGGCCGTCTAAAATCTCGCTGGACGCGAAACGGATCCTGGGAGCTCGAATCGGTGACTATGCGAACGTATGCGGATCCGTAATTGAAAGAATAAGGGGAAGGGGAGCAGAGAATGGTTGAATCGGGTTGTAGAGAGGCTTCCGCCGTGAAAAAAGATCGCCGCAATTTGCATGCGGCGTCGCTAGTTTCGGGGTCCACGTAACCGTGAAAACAACGTACCCGGAGTGGCCCGATTCGCAAAATTACACGGACATTACGAAGCTCCGGGGGCCGTTCGCCGGGACACGATTGCCCCGGGGCCGATTGGGGGCAATCCCGCGAAGGGGAACGCTTTAAAGTAGACCACCGCCTCGGCGTCGTCGATTGGCCGAACGAATTAATTCCTTCCGCCGGAACGGCGTGGAAACCGGAGGCTAATTTTCGTCCTGATACTTGTCCTCGGATCGGGGGGCGTTTTCGGGCCGCGGCGAACGATACGGTGACCGTCGTCGTCGCCGTCGGATCGCCGTGTCCGCGCGCGAATCCTCCTCCGTCGGCGCGCGGTAACGCCGACGCGAGAATTTAGCCGCCGCGTTGTAACGGCCGATGAGAAACTATTCCCGACGCATTGCGGAAGCGGAAGGGCTTCCTCCCCCTCGCCCCCTCCGTACGAACCGGGCTCGAATTGCGGAGTAATTGAGACGTAACTTCTGCTTTGCAGATTGAATATCGGCCGGGAGGATGGACGCCGAGACCGGGGCCATTTTGGCCCTGCAAATATTGGCTCTCTGTTCGATTGTCGCCGCGCTGTTGGCCTATCTGATGCGGCAATCGAGGAACGCCACCGACGAGTACGAGTCCCGTAACAAACGCCACGTGCTCGTTACCAGCTGCGATACCTGCGTGGGCTTGCAGATCGCCCTTGCGCTCTACGAAGTTGGCTACAAGGTAATCGGTGTTCTCTATCGCCACCCACGGCTCAGGTGTAACCGAAATTGCATGAAATTGCTATGATTAATTGTAGCTGTGTGCCACTTCTCCATGACGAATATACTCGTCGTGCGTAAAAAGAGCCTCCCTTCAAAATAGAGAATTCGTTGAAGCAGTTTGCTGTGTTTGTCGAGTATACTCGTCATGACAGGAAATACTGCCACTTCTCCATGACGAGTATACTCGTCGTGACAGAAAATACTGCCACTTTTCCATGACGAGTATACTCGTCGTGATACAAAATACTGTCACTTCTTCGTGACGAGTATACTCGTCGTAATTCAACATGCTGCCACTTCTCCATGACGAGTACACACGTCAGAATTCAACATACTACCACTTCTCCATGACGAGTATATTCGTCATGACACAAAATACTGCCACTTCTCTATAACGATTATACTCGTCACAACACAAAATACTGCCACTTCTCCTTGACGAGTATACTCGTCACAACACAAAATATTGCCACTTCTCCACGACGAATCTACTCGTCGTGCGTGAAAAGAGACTCCCTTCAAAATAGAGAATTCGCTCAACTAGTTTGCTGTGTTTGTCGAGTATACTCGTCATGACAGAAAATACTGTCACTTTTCCATGACGAGTATACTCGTCGTCACACAAAATACTGCCACTTCTTTGTGACGAGTATACTCGTCATAATTGAACATACTGCCACTTTTTCATGACGAATATACTCGTCATAATTCAACATACTGCTACTTCTCCATGACGATTATACTCGTCACAGCACAAAATACTGCCACTTCTCCTTGACGAGTATACTCGTCACAACACAAAATATTGCCACTTCTCCACGACGAATCCAATCGTCGTGCGTGAAAAGAGATTCCCTTCAAAATAGAGAATTCGCTCAACCAGTTTGCTGTGTTTGTCGAGTATACTCGTCACGACACAAAATACTGTCACTTCTCCATGACGAGTATACTCGTCGTCACACAAAATACTGCCACTTCTCTGTGACGAGTATACTCGTCAAACACAGCCAACTGGTTAAAAATGAAATACTAATTGTGCGAAATGTTCGAGATTGCTGACGTGAGAGTCACAGTGTTAAAGGAGAGAAACTGTGAAACAAAATCAGTGTCTGAACGATCAATATTATAACGTTAACGTTCGATATCGGTAGGTGTTCGCGGGCATGCTCGATCCCTCGGGCAGTTCGCCGTCCATCAAGATCTTGCGGGCGATGGAGCAGCAGAAGGACAGAGAGGAGGATCCGTCGGACCCGACGCAAGGCAATCCGCAGGATCCGGAAGTACGTGCTCGCGGCCAAATCGTGCCATTGGAGCTGGACCCGACGAGGGAGGACAGTTTACGGGCTTGTTTGGACGCAGTTAGAGCGAAACTTCCGGCCGGCGAAGACGGCAAGCAATTGTCGATTTAATGCGCGTCGAACGGCGAAGATTGAACACGCTCCGCTGACCGCCTCTCCTCCTCGCCCTCGCCTCGCGCCACCCCTCGTTTTCACACGCTCGAGCTCGTCCACGCTCGTGCTCGAGTAATTAAATTCGATTATCGACGCGGGCTTAGCCGGTCGCCCAGTAACGATCGGCCATAATCGCGGCAGAAATTATGATTATTGTGTGACTGGCGAGAGCAGCGATTTTCTTTCGTTCGAAATACGGTTAATTCTCCCTAATTGACGCTCAGATTCTGCACAAAAGTGGACGATTTGGGAGGTGGAAGATTATTTGAGCCTCGCGGCTCGTTTCTTTATAATTGTTGACAAGTGGTAATTGTAAAAAATCGTATTTTCGCTTCTCAGAATATTAATGGTACGCCAATGTTGTCTTCATAATTTGCTTCGTCGTGTTTTCGTATCGTTTTACACGATTTTGTTACTCATACGTTCCTAAAAAGTAGGTGCATGAAAGGTCAAGCATGAGAAAAAATTGTGTAGTTTAAATACAACGCCATGAAAACGTTGCAAGAATCCAAGGATATTGTTACATTGTTTTCAACATGTACTATAAAGCAGGAAAGTTTTCTTCATGTAGCTTTTTTTTATTGTATTTTTCACAATTAACTGAGACAATTTTTATTTTGTGTGAAACAGTTGTTTCAAAGGAATCGTTCTGCAACTTGCAATTAGAAGCAACAGTAAATTCTCCCTAATTGACGCCCAGATTCTGTACAAAAGTGGACAATTTGGGAGGTGGACGATTATTTGAGCCTCGCGGCTCGTTTCTTTATAATTGTTGACAATCGGAAACTGTAAAAAATCGTATCACTACTTCTCAAAATATTAATGGTACACCAATACCTACTAGAAAGTAGGTGCAAGAAAGGTCAAGCATAAGAAAAAATTGTGTAGTTTAAATAATACAACGCCATGAAAACGTTGCAAGAATCCAAGGATATTGTTACATTATTTTCAACACGTACTATAAAACAGGAAAGTTTTTTCCATGTAGCTTATTGCATTTTTCACACACAATTAACTGAGACAATGTTTATTTTGTGTGAAACAGTTGTTTCAAAGGAATCGTTCTGCAACTTGCAATTAGAAGCTACAATAAATTCTCCCTAATCGAACAAATTTGGGAACAGCCTTATTCGTGCCTCGTTTTCACAGCCACCGATCGCCGACAACCATAAAACCGAGCCGCGGGGCTCGAAAAATCGTACCTCCTCTATCCAAATTGTCCATTTCTGTGCGCGATCCGAGCGCTAATTAGGTAGAATTTACCGTAACTCGTGCAACGTCTGTTTCTTTTCACGTTTCCCTGCGTCCGATCGTTGCCCGTCGAAAATTACCCGCGGAACGTATTCCAGCACGTACGATGCGTACGAAAAACGCAACTATTAGCGGCTAATTGTGCAACATTCTCGTGCAAATTTATACGAGAGCTGCCGGGCGCTTCCTTGTTACCGGGATTCCGCGAGAAATCCTCCTCGAAGTCTGCCAGGCAGGCGAGCCTTTGGAAACGCTATTCCCGCACATTTTATCGCGATATTTTTTCCGGGAGATCTTTACGACGGGACGAGCTGCGCCCTCCAAGACGAGACATTCGATAGCCCCGAAGAATCACCGTGGCATTATTTAAATTTTAGACTGTCAACGTACAAAAGGCGCAACCCGATCCCCGTGAAGAGATTGACGAGAGCTTAACGAGTAGCTGCCGCGGTGTCTCCGACGGGGCAACTATGAGTTGCTTAATTAACAAAAAATCGCGTTACATCGGGGTTGCTGGGCGGGGAGAGGTGGGCACGTTAATTAAGTTTCCCGGGATGTTCAAGTTTCGTTTTAGGAAGTTCTCGGGTTCCCGTCAGTCAATGGCGGAGGGCCGTGGCCGTCCATTTCGATCCGGGAATTTTATTATTCCGATCGTTAATTACACGTCCGCGTCTGGCAGACCCTGTCGAAGATGATCCGGAAGCTGCGGGCCGAGGGCCGCGCCTCGGTACGCGAACGTTAATGTAGACACCGGGCCAATAATTGTTCTCGCGATCACTCCGCCGAGTCGTCCGCTTCGAGATGTAGATAATACTCGCCGGGTTTTATCGGCCCGTATAAATAGAACGCGAGGAAAGGGGCGAATAAGAGAAAAGTGTGCGAGTGGAAGAGCGAGAGAGCGAGAGAGCGAGAGAGAGAGCGAGAGAGAGAGCGAGCGACCGAGCTAGCACGAGAGAGAGAGAAAGAGAGAGAGAGAGTGCGACCCAGCGAGCTAGCGAGAGAGAGACAGAAAGAGAGAGAGAGAGAGAGAGAGAGAGAGAGAGAGAAAGAGTGCGACCGAGCGAGCTAGCGAGAGAGAGAGAGAGAGAGAGAGAGAGAGAGAGAGAGAGCGGAATGGAGTTCCGAGACGGCCGCAAAGATTCACGGATGTAAAATACCATCGGCTCCCTGGAAATTGTTCGGTTAAAACGAACAATTCCGCGGGAAGGGGTCTGATAACCGATCGTCGAATGCAATGCATTTGCTTTTATCGATTTCCTTCGCGCACCGTCGTCGATCCTGAACCGGGCAACGCGGTTCTCCGTTCCGATCGACTGTAAATTACAGCCGGAGAGCGCTGTTTAATCGAAATTTTTCTTCATTCCTTCATCTCCGCGCTCCTTTCTTTTTCTTTTTTCCTTTCTCGAGATCTTTTCGTTTCTTCCGGTCTCCCCCCCAATTCACATCTTTCCGCCAACGGGTTCGCCACCACCGTGCAGGAAATTAACACGTTTCTGCCTCGCGTAGGTGCAACGACCGCGGCCTCGCATAAAGAAGCTCGAATTACATCGGCCGACGAAATTAATGTTTCCTTCGCCGCTTTATAACCGCCGGCTGAAAATCGTGTTCTCGAATTTTTCCGGGCATTTGATTTTCAGAGACTTTCAAGCTTACGAATTTTTTAATTTATTCGAACGATTCTGTCGGAAATTTCTGTGCGAAGTTACGTTCGAAAAATTCGGGGTCCGACAAACGATCTCCGAAGAAGCAACGCGTAAAAATAATGATCGGTTGAAATATCCTTCGCGAGCAAATTCGTGCGATTTAAAATTGCAATGCACGGTCCGATCCTCGCAAGATCATATAAAAATATGTCTCGCGTTTAATGTCTTGCAATAATTAACCCTTTCCGGACGAAGGCTCTTTTCAGATCAAGTTGAAAATATTTTCCTCGGAGAAAATTCTCTCGTCTATGCGTCAACATTCGTCCTCATTGGCTTAACACTGAATTTACGGAGCACAAAAAACGGCTGTTTTATAATAGTAAATTATTATTTAATTATTATTTTATTATTACTTTATTATTAAATTTTATAACAGTATCCATTTCCTTAACACTACATTTACGGAGCACAAAAAACAGCAGTTTTATAGTAGTAAATAAATACTTAATTGTTATTTTATTATTACTTGATTATGAAATTTTATAATAGTATCCATTTTTTCTTAACACTAAATTTACGAAGCACAGAAAAACAGCTGTTTTATAATAGTAAATTATTACTTAATTATTATTTTATTATTACTTTATTATTAAATTTGATAATAGTATTCTATATCAGTTTATAATAGTAACAATAATATAATAGTAACATGATTATTCTGATTTTGAACAAGCGTTATTGCAACATTTGTAGTAAGTAACATATCAATTGTATAAATAACTCATAAAAGTATCTTTGCGATACGAATGGTCGCAAATTAAAAAATTAGTAATAATTTTGACGGGTTCCGTAAATCTAGCGTTAACAAATAGATCGCTTTCTGTCGCGCACAATAAACTCCTCGCATTCGAATACAACAAATTGTCAAACAGTCGTCCGAGCGTTGAAACGCCGCAACTATTCAACTGCTTCCACGAGGCGATCGATGCACGGCGTACGTGTCAGGAGGACAATTAAGGCGACCGTTCATTTCGGAATGTTAAGAAGGAGCAGAAGAAGCGTCCGCGGCGTTCACGGTTCACGCGAACTCGTTAAGAGGCGCGAACTCCGCGACGCGAACTTCCATCTTCGCCGCGTCTCGCGCGCCCATCCGAAAGCGACCGCTTAAGGTACACCGAAGTTTCAACTTTACTTAATTACAGGTCTCTGGGCAGTCGTGCATACTGGCGGTCAGGCTCTTCCCGGTGTTATTGAGAGGCAGCCGAGTTCCGCGTGGGAATCCATGTTGCGACACAACTTGGTAGCGCCGCTCAGGACCGCCAGGGTTTTCATTCCGCTGCTGCGCGCGAAAAGAGGTCCGTTCTGCAATCCATCAACGACTTGGTTCGCCACGCATAGTTCCGTCGAAGTTCCCCGTTTACTTATTAGATCGATGGACCGAGAGGGACGATCGTTGCATTTGGATAGCTGGGGATAGGGTTGAGGATGTTGTAAACTGTGCGAACAGTTGTTGCGTTATTGGATTGTAAAGAAAGAATGTTCTCAGGTTTTTCTGATAGCTTTGAAATCATATGTTCAACTGCTTTTTTAGCATCCTCGCGAAACGAAATTGTTTTGAAAAACGGAACAACTTCTCGACGAACGAGAATGATTCTTAGAACGATATTATTGACATTAAAAATACCAAGAATTGAAAGAGTGGCGAGATTGAATATAATTAGTGTATATATGCATACACTATATATAGTATAATAGTATAGTTAATAGTATAATATAATAGTATAATATAGAATAGTATAATAGTATAATTTAATAGTATATAATTTATATACTATATATACTCTATACTAATATATATATATATATATTTATCTTAATTTGACCATATATATAATAGTATAGTTAATAGTATAATAATATAATATTATAATATAGTATAGTATAATAGTATAATATAATATATATAATACTATTATACTATACTATATAGTATTATATATATTATATTATACTATTATACTATACTATATTATACTATTGTATTATACTATTAACTATACTCTAATAATAGTATATTAATAGTATAATATATATAGTATAGTATAATTATGGTATTTTATTATACTATTAACTATACTATTATGTTATACTATATGTATATTATACTATTAACTATACTATTATACTATATATACATTACACTAATTTATATACATATCATTATTATATATATTATACTATTAATTACACTATTATATTATTATACACATATACGGTCAAATTAAGAGATTCCCATGAAAGATTTTCCACAATTTCGATCCTTCTAAAACAAAAAATGTGGAACAGTACTTTGACATGGCACAGTAATAGGTTCTGTGTAAAGACAAACAAAAATACCGCAGCGAATTCGTCTCTCAGCGAAATGTTTTACACTCGGACAAGAAAAACCTGCTGTATATTGTGCTAATCTGTAAAAACGTAAACATGGTCTCCGTACGATATTACTCATCCTCAGGCTAGTAGTGACGAACGCGTTAAAGAATGAACTGCCTTTTTGCACTCGTCCGGTACTCTTCTACCACAGAAACGCGATTATAAAATGATTAAATTATTATATTATTTGGTCGCAGTTTATGCAGAAAATACACATTTTGTACGAACATCCTCGCTCCATTGTTCGGCCTAGAAACATCAGCAAAAAAATCAGTATAATGTCCCACAAAAATCGACGACCTTGGTAAAACAATAGATCTCAAACATTCTGATCGAACATTTTCAACCATGATTGTAACGTTGCATCCCCCAGTGCGCGCGAGTAACTTAGGGCGAAGTCGCCGGACGCGATAAATACCGTTTAAAGCTCTGTTCCGCGGTGGGCAAGGTGGTGGCGCTCACTGTAAGAAACATTTATGTTGAAGGTCGCATCGTTCTTCTGGGGGATTCGGCGGCCAGCTATGGCACCAAAGCCGGGACCGGTCTGGTGGCGTACAGCGCTTCCCGGAAGGCGGTGGAGGGTGCCGCGGAGGCATTAAAGAGCGAGCTACAGTCCTCGGGAGTCGACGTCGTTCTTCTTAAACCGCCGCCCGTGAATCCTCTTATTCTTTATAGCGCGCCGGTTCTCAAGACGTAAGGCTTCAAACAGTATTTTACGGACGGCTGTTCCCGGCATAGTAATTCCCGACGAGCGGAGGGGGTCGCGGCAGTGCCCACCCCCTCGGCATTTGAACGGCGGCCGGAGTAATTGGCGTTTCGTTTACAGCTGTTTCATTCGTTTATCACCGCGTTGGCCGTTCACAATCGACCCGTAGAGATAAGCATTTCTTGACTTTGATAAGATAAGCGAAACGATGATTTCGACAGGTCCGACGTGGAATCTGGGATCTTCTCGTCGGAAGGCACCTGGACGGCGCCCGTGTCGACCCACTCGATCCAGAACTCGCTGATACCGGCGTTGACGTCGGCCTGCCCCCGCGGTTCCTACGACATGGCCGCTAAATCGAGACTGTTCTGCCGATGAGAGAACCGGTCGCTAATGATGCCCGGCACACACGCAGCGTCGCGCGCAAGACTTAATTGATAGCGTGTTAGGTTACACGACAGCCAGTAATACTTTGTAAGACTAATGGAGCCTTGTTAACTTTGCGTTAATTAATCCTCGTCGTCTGCGCGAGTCGATGAACGTTACGGGACCTCCGCGAGACCATTAAGACCGTGTCGTTCGGCCGCGGCTTCGTCCTGGATAGCTTCTTCTTCGCGTGCAAGCCGATATGCGCGCGGAATACAGTAATGTCTCGATAATTGACGCTCGGATTGGCCAGAAAAATGGACGGTTTTGGGGAGAGGAGGTGCGATTGTTCGAGCCTTGCGGTTTATTTTCATAGTTAGGAATTGTCAACGATTCTGAAAATAAGTCGCGAGGCTCGAATAATCGTATCTCCTCTTCGCAAATTGTCCATTTTTCTGGATAATTTGAGCGTCGATTAGAGAGACGTTACTGTACATAGCTCGAGGTGCTAAGGATTTGTGTACAGTTTTGTAATTAATATGTAACTCTCACTAAACTTTGTAACGGAGACTGTGTTGGTGGTGTCTTTCTTTCGACCGTTTACCTGTGAACGTGCCACGGAGAATTTTGGAAGAGGAGATACGATTGTTCGAGCCTTGCGGTTTATTTTTATGGTTATAAATTGTCCACAATTATAAAAACGAGCCGCGAGGCTCGAACAATCGTATCTTCTCCGCTTCCCAAATTGTCCATTTTTGTGCACAATCTGAGCGTCAATTAGGGAGAAATTACTGCGCGTACAACGAAGGGTGTGTTCTCGTTTCAGCGTGCCAGACACCGGAGAAGGGTTCGCGCAACGTTGCGCAGTTCTACGTTTCCACGACGGCGTTCGAGTTAAGCGTAACAACAATTCCGATTCCTGTATCCATAGTTCGTAATCGCGGAAGGCGGTCTATATTAATTTCGTGGCGGTTTCCATCGAGAGTTTCGCGGATAATTCACTGACGTCTGGATCGAGCATTCCCTCCGCGGCTCGCGCGCTATGCAAGCAATACCAGCCGCGCTTCGATAAATATTAAAACCAGCCGGGGGAACGATAAATATTAAATTCGATGCTCGAGTGTCGGGTCGAAGTTGATTCGTTAATATACAGTCATTTTTTTCTTCCTTTTTTTCTTTCTTTCTTTAGTTACTTATTTCTTTGTGGGAAATATATCCTTTGGTTTAGACAAATAGATTAACAAATGTACAGAAGTAGTATTATTACAAGAAAGTACTAAACGTAGGATGACATAGTGGAGGAGATAATAATCTTGAATATAACCTTGGCTGTTGGGTCGAAGTTGATTCGCTAATATAGGGTCTTTTTTTCTTTCTTTCTTTCTTTATTTATTTATCCGCGGGGAATATATCCTTTGGTTTAGACAAATAGATTAACAAATGTACAGAAGTAGTATTATTACAAGAAAGTACTAAACGTAGGATGACATAGTGGAGGAGATAATAATCTTGAATATAACCTTGGCTGTTGGGTCGAAGTTGATTCGCTAATATAGGGTCTTTTTTTCTTTCTTTCTTTCTTTATTTATTTATCCGCGGGGAATATATCCTTTGGTTTAGACAAATAGATTAACAAATGTACAGAAGTAGTATTATTACAAGAAAGTACTAAACGTAGGATGACATAGTGGAGAAGATTACAAATTTATGATAGTCGTATAAAGTTTGATGTGATTTAAGACAAAATCCAGATCCAGTTCACAGCGAGCAGGAATTCGTATTTAACTTAAACAAACTAGGTAGCTTTAATCAATTATCTACATTGTATATTAGACAGATCGTGATTAAAATATGCTATCGGACAGCCCAAGCGGAAGGCTGTAAGTTACAAAAATCTACTTTGGACACCTTCCAATAGATTGCATAAATATTGCTGATAAGGACAGCAGATAGTAAGCAGTATTCTATAAGCCGTTCAACGAGGCGAGAAGGTAGAAGTAAACATAGAGTTCACGTGATTGGTACACTAAGGCAGTCGATAAGCGGGTCAGCTTATATCAGCCGGTCAGTTATTCAGGAGATAACTTGGACTGGTCCTTCATCGATGGCTCTGACAAGAAAGTCAAGGCGGAATTTCAATTTTCAAATTTCATTTAGATATACAGTATGTCCAACAATGTCTCGCAATCTGGAAATGAGAGATTCCTCAGGTCATTTGAAGCAACTTTTTCCTTAGTGAAAATGCAATCCGTGGCTTCGTTTACGAGTTATTAGCGAAAAACAGTGACCAATGAGAACCGAGATCAACTGACGCGAGGTGGCCGAGCCAATGAGCGGAACTGGGCGTTGCGCGCTCGTTGGCTGGGCCGTCTCGCGCCACCCGAGCTCGCCTCTCATTGGCCAGTGTCATTTTGTTAATAACTCGTTAACGATGCCTCGGAGAACATTTTTGTAAAGGAAAAAGTTGCTTCAAATGATCTCAGAAATCCTTGTTTCCGGATTGCGAGACATTTTTGAGACATCCTATACTTATATTGTCAAGGAATAATTCTATATTATATTGAGAATAAGCAACTTTCTAGGTTAATATAATTATATTAATAATTGTATCGATATTATTATAATAAAATAATTATATTAATATTATTATATATAATAGGATAGTTATATTAATATAACTATAATGAAATAATTATAATGAAATAATTATATTAATATTATTATATTAATAATTAACTTTTTTATTATCTAATATCTAATCTCTTATCTAATCTCTCGCCTCGTTGGACAGTCCACGGTCGGAATCTATCAAACGAGCAACGAAGAAGGGCCGAGCGTACCTGTGACCGCGGACAAGCGCGCGATCCAAATGAAACGCGAATTGAACGAATTCCCCTCTTAATTGCACGGTAACAACCCTTCGCGTTATAGAATCCCCCAAAACAATACATACGAGAGAATTAATTTGTTTCACGCTTCGAGTTTTCGATTAATCGAGAGTCCCGTTTGCCAGGCGGCGTCGCCGCAGTTCGCTCGCCGGACGCATGCACATAATTACAACCGATCGTGCCGGCGCGGCGCGGCGCTTTTTCAGCGGAAATCGGTGCGGTAATTTCGCCGTTTCTTTGCGGATCGGGGATCGGTCGTCGTGGAATTTCCGCGTCATTAACGGCGGGGCCCCCGCAAGAACCGAACGGCCGCCGACGAAAGTATTAAACACTTGGAACATTGTCGTTGCGCAAAACCCATTCTAATTATTCATCGGACCGTGCATAATCCTTTTCCAATAGTTTCCTTTGCCGAGCAAAAGAAAAAACCGCCGCGCCGCGCCGGGGAGAGAGAGAAGTCACCGAATCAGAAAAACTCGCGCTCGCATAATCGCGGATCCGCGGACGACGAAACGGTCACGCCAATACGGCCAATTTCGGCTCGACGGTTTTTCATAATTCATGAGGAAATTCATTAAAAGTATTTCATTTATATCGTCGCGGCGCGGCGCTATCTAGGCGGCGATAATAATCGAATCCGTCGGTCGACCGGGGCTCGGCGGAGCGGCGAGCGGGAGAGGGGGAGAGAGAGAGAGAGAGAGGGGACAGATTATTTGACTTTCCGTCGAATCGATAGATTACAATTCAGCCGTGTATGAATGTATCATGCGGGTCGGTCGGTGCGCGGAAATGCAATAAATTCAACAATAAACTGTATTGCCACGCTGGGACGCGGCCGTTCAGCCGACATATTGACACTCGTTCGCTCTATCGTCGAAAATGCGCAATTTATAGCTCATTAATCAGGACAGTCCAATTTGCATGCGCCGATCGAATATATGATAGGGCCGTTTCTTTAATGGGTTCGGCCGCGCGGCCCGGGCCCGGCCTGCCCGCGAATAATTGCAGCCCTATAATTTTGGAATTATCGCGGATTTTCGGGCTGATTAAAACTACTAAAGCATCGGGGGGTGGCGAGCACTCGCTCGCGTGTGTACCTGGCCGGGGGCCGTCGGATAGTTACGAGTACGACTTGAAATTAAAATTGCCGTTCGCGCGAGGCCCGCGTAAATCACCGAGCGATCGCGTGTGCCGCGGGAGAGCGAGAGAAAGAGAGGAATCCACGAGAAAATTCAATTTCATTTTCATTCGTAAACCCGTCGATTCGTATCCGGGCGTCTTCGAGCAGCGATCGTTAAATCGGAAGGCGACAATTTCGCTTTTGTCCGATATTTTGCAATCGATTTTTCTTCGCGGCCATTCGCGCCGCGCCGCAACAATGGCGACTCGGTGACGAAAACCGGGGCCCGTTACGTCGCTATTAACGTAACGATTACGACTCTCTTCCTCGGTCGGTCGCGTCCAACGACGGGGTGTGACGAACAAATTAATGCTCCAACGGGACAGTCCTTTTTCGGCGACCATTGCTATAAAACGCGATTTTCGCGATCGCTTAACCAGTTCACCGCTGGTTCCTCCGCAGGAAGCAACATGGCGCTGGCCGAGGTATACAACCACGCGCGCGTCTTCGTTCGAAACGTGGATTATCGCGATCATCATCCGGCAGTTCCGAAATTTTCCGGTCGTAACGAGAGAGCGAGTCCGAGCGGGCCGGCTTAAATCCGATCGATCGCTCCAATTCCGGGCGCGCATCGGTTCAAAAAGAAAAAGAAAAAAAAAGGGAGCGCGCCAGCTTTCGTAAAACGGATTACCGCGCGGCCGCCGCGCGGGCAAAGTATTACAAAGTCGTGACCGTAAAGTAAGAGCGCGGCGTGTTTCAGAGGTCTTTATGCGACTGCCGAGGACGTCCGTTTCCGGCTGCCACCCGAATTCTCCCCCTGTTCGCCGAAAAATAATGGCCCTCCCTTAGCAATTTTCTGGCCCGCGGTGCCGTCGCCTCGAACGAAATTTCGCGTCGCCGATTTTCCACCGGAATACCGCCGGGCCTCAGATCTTTCGTCGTTTCAGAAACTGATCATCCTCGCACTGGCTTCGATCGCGGCCGTTCACGGTCTTTCGTTGGCTCGTCACAAAGGTATCGTAGCATCGGCCACGTTCAGTGGCCCGCGAAACTGTTCGTGCACCTTTTTAAAGCGCGATCACTTTTTTTTAAAATTGGACTAGGGGACTTTAACTCTAAACCTACCAAGCAGTAATACTAACTGGCATGTACTGCTTTACAAAAGTGAGAAAAGATCGAATTTATTTAGAATTTGTAAAGTTTTTATTGTGAAACTTGCTCCAATAATATAACTTATTCGAGCGTTTTCCACGAAAGAGTTTCGGAACTTTGCAGAATTGCAAAATAAGAAAGCGGTCACTTTAACCGCGGTAGGTTTAGTGTTAAAAAGGGACTTGAATTTTTTTAAAGACGATAGCGGAACTAATTTACCAGATAATTTGCTTTTTTTAAATTTTGTTATTAGTTAGAATGATAAAACAAATATAAAAGAACTCTCGTTTCTAAATTGTTTTAAAGCACCTTTTCAAAGCGCCATAACTTTTTAAAAAGTGGACTAGGGGACTTTAAAAAGAGACTTGAATTTTTTTCAAATGATTGCGGGAATAATTTACCAGACGATGCTTTTTTTAAATTTTGCTATTACTTGGAATGACAAAAAAATAAGAAAGTAAAAGGACTCTCGTTTTTAAACAATTTTATCGAAATATTATGAACGAAAATTTCAAAAATGACTCTCATAGATCTCGGTAATTTATGTGCATACTGAAAATTGTATTATTATATTATATTTTATTTATATTATTTATATTATTATATATATATATATATATATATATATATATATATATATTACTATTTATATTATATATATTATTCATATTTTATTATATTTTTTATATCATATTTATTTATATTTTCGTTACAAGGTCAGATAAGAAAGTTCAAGGAAATGAGAGTTTCTTATTTTTTTTCTCTCGCTCCAAATAATAGCAAAATTTAAAAAAGACACTTTGGTCATTATCTAGTATACTAATTCCTCCATTATCTATTATAAAAAAAATTCAAGTTATTCAGTCCAGTTGCAAAAAGGTTATTGCATTTTAAAAGGTGTACGAATACTTTTGTGTTCGACTGTAACTCAACCATCCGGTTTTAATTAACTATACCATAATTTTCTACACTTTGTACAATTGTTTCGCTTTAGACGACTATGGCTCCGGTAGCATAGCGAAGACCGGACATGGCGGAGGTGGAGGAGGCCACGGTGGCGGCGGCTATGGTGGCGGCCATGGTGGCGGTCATGGCGGCGATTACGGGGGCCACAGTGACGAATTCGGAGGCGAGGGTCACAGCGGCGGATATCGTGGAGGTTACGGAGGCGATGACAGCCACGAAAGTCGCGGACGTAGCGGTCACGAAATTGGCGGGTCCAAAAGTGGCGGTCACGGGGGCGGAGGTCACGGGGGCGGAGGTCACGGAGGCGGAGGTCACGGAGGCGGAGGTCACGGGGGCGGAGGTCACGGAGGCGGAGGTCACGGAGGCGGCGGCGGCGGTCACGCGCATTCCTACCACCATTTCTCCGGGCCGGTCTCCGGTCACCATCAAGAGATCTCCTGGAAAGACAAACACGGAAAGGTTCACCACGACTACGTGGCCTATCCTGAGGCCCATTACGCCTACGGCGTCGACGACAAGCACACCAAGGATCATCATTCGCAGAAGGAGCATCGCGACGGTACACACGCCGAGTTTAGAAAGCACATTGATCGAGCACCGGCAAGAAACCGTACCGAGACCCGATCCCGGTGCTCTTAATTAGAATCTCGAATTAATTGGACGGCCGGCCTTGCTCTTAATTAGAACTAGCAAATTCGCCTGACGACAGGCTTCCGGCACGCCAACTTTAATATTTTTCCCCGGCGAACTTCGTGGAAGCGCGCGGAGACATCTCGCTACTTCGCTTCAGACGTTTCCCACTTTCGGCGGATCTTTAGACTTTCAAGTTTTTTCGGGGAAGAATTTGTTTATTAGGTTTTAGATTTTAAAATGTGAAATTGCGGACTTTTTTTAACATTATTGCTCTCTTTTTGTTTGTTATTTTTCGCGCTATATTATATGTATTATTTACATAATAATATTCGTGATGTTATCTATATATTCTTATACAGTGCGAAGTATATTCTATTCTATATATATTCTTGAATAACATCATCATGATAATAAATACAATATATATAATATAACAATACAAATTAATAATAATTGATAATTATTATTAATTTTTATTATTATATATTGTATCTAATATATTGATGATATTGAAGAATATATATAGAAAAGAATATATGTATATATACATACCATCAATATTATTGAAGAATATTCTGAATATTAAGAAGAATATTCTGAATATTAAGAAGAATATTCTGAATATTAAGAAGAATATTCTGAATATTAAGAAGAATATTCTGAATATTAAGAAGAATATTCTGAATATTAAGAAGAATATTCTGAATATTAAAAAGAATATTTTGAATATTAAGAAGAATATTCTGAATATTAAGAAGAATATTCTGAATATTACGAAGAATATTCTGAATATTAAGGAGAATATTTTGAATATTAAGAAGAATATTCTGAATATTAAAAAGAATATTCTGAATATTAAAAAGAATATTCTGAATATTAAAAAGAATATTTTGAATATTAAGAAGAATATTCTGAATATTAAGGAGAATATTCTGAATATTAAGAAAAATATTCTAAATATTAAGAAGAATATTCTGAACAGTCTAATATTTTTCATTCTCTGTCGTTTTGCAACTGTGTTTAGCTTCAACGACTTTGGAACTAACGTTTTCATAAAATTGCAGGGAAGACTGTCCATGGACAGTACGAAGTACACGAGCCCGGTGGCAACGTGAGAATCGTGAAGTACCATTCTGACCCCCACAGCGGATTTACCGCTCATGTTCACAATCTCGGTGGAAACGATCACTCCGGTGGAGGCCATCATGGCGGTCACAAGGATTGAAACCGACGAAACGAGAAACGATTTATTTACCTTTAGCTAAGTGTAATATGCGTTATGTTGATGTTTTTGTTTTTATTTTGTTATCGTTATTTTTGGAGCGGTTATTGTTTGACCAAATATTTCGCTGTTGTTACGTTGTGGATTCGACTGAATTCGTAATAAAGGATCATTGTTGGTGTAAACACTGTTACGTGTTTATTATTGAATATATCAATATCTAATGTTTTAATTCCTTCTTTCTTTACACATTTTTTTTTAGACCTCGCAGCTTTTAAGACTCAAACGTAAATTAATCTATATATATAAGAAAGTAGAGAATGTAGCAATTTTGTTAGAGTGTGAAACAAAAATATACACAAAGTTTTAGGAACAAATTGAAAATAAACTTCCTGATTCGGGACGCCCGATACTTGGTTATATTATATTATAAATATTATAATAAACAATATATAATAATATCTTTTATTAAATTATATTTAATTAATCATAATAAATAATATATGTAAAATATAAATATTATAATAAATAAATATTATATTATAAATAAATATAAGACAGGCTTTTTCGTAATCTTCAATTCACATAAAAAGAATTGAAATAATTTATGTAGCGAGTTAAGAATTTCAATCTTTTACACGTTCAATTTTAACAAATAAAACAGTCGATTGGATTCAAACGAAAAAATTTGACATGTCTTAATCTATATAAAAACCTAAAGTTAATCGTGCTTGTAAATAAACAAAAGGCGCAGCAATGTGGCTACCCCACAGTAACTGGCTCCCCCACCCTAGTACATTCGCACAATCGCAAGAAGCATGCCCGAGGCAAGTGTAAAGAGATCGCAACACAGGTTTCGCAACTGACCCCCCGCCCCTCCCCTACGACGCCGCCAATTCCGCCGCCAATTTCCATCGCCAGTAATTGCATCGCGCATACGCTTCGACAATTTCCGCTAAGTTTGCGTAGTAGATGATATTGAGTAGACACGGCTCACCGAGAGAGAGAGAGAGAGAGAGAGAGAGAGAGAGAGAGAGAGAGAGAGAGGCCGGCAACTTCCGGGAACGGAGGCCGGCGAGGAGGAGGAGGAGGAGGCTCCTTTGAGGAGTGGGCCAACAAAGATGCGCCGAGTGCTTGCTCGTCTTGAGGAACGAGTAATTAAAACGGGGTATGCCTCGCCTTTAAATATTTCTTCTTTGGTCTCTGCGCGAAACTTTCCGTGCGGAGTGCTCCGTCGTCTAATTAATTAGCTAAAATTCTTTCAACTTTTTCCGCGACCGAGCCGCCCCGCCTACCCTCACCCCCATCCCCTGCCACGCCACCATCTCCCATACCGGCGCGAGAGTAATTTGCGATCGCGGAGCACGAAAATGTTGGAGATGCGTCGGCGAGGAAGAAGTTAATTCCGGGGCCGGAAGGGAACCGGAAGGGGGCCGGAAGGGGGCCGCGACCAGAGCCGAAGAAGACGGCACAGGATAATACGGAATTAAACGGAAACGGCCCGGTTGGCGATGGTCGCCGGATTCCAACGGGGGCTAAAGAACGCGCGCACCCATCGCGAACAAGCACGAACGCGAGCGCAAACTAATTACGCGCGCCCGCCGCGTTGTGAGAGCGAAGGGGCGGAAAGGTGCGACGCGTCGAATACAAACGGCTGCATCGCTTGGCCTCTAAAGAAAAAGAAAAAAAAGGAGAAAGAGAGAAAGAAAGAAAGAAGAGAAGAAACGGAACGGAAAAAGAATAGATCTCTCGCCGTGTTCGACGCCGCTCGTCCGGGCCACGTGACTACCCTGTTTTCTGCAACGATGCACCGGACGGCGTGCGACGACGACGGCTTCCAGCTCCGCGCGTTGTTCTTGCATCGACGATTCCTGCGATAATCAGACGGCATTCGAAGCTTGTTAAAAGTAATTAGTCTCCTGAGTACATCATCGTCCTTCTCCCCCAGCCAGCCAGTCGTCGGCGTTTGTAATACACGGCGTTTCTACTTCAGCTGGGCTGTTCGTCGCGAGGTCGACACAATGATCCGTCGCACCCCTTTGCCGTTGCGATCTCTCCCCCCTCTCTCTCTCTCTCTCCCTAAATATATATATATATATTTCTCTCTCTCTCTCTCTATCTATTTCTCTCTCTCTCCCTAAATATATACAGGGTGTCCCAAAAATGTCTCGCATTCCGGAAATGGCGGATTCCTCGGATCATTCGAAGCAACTTCTTCCTTTACAAAAATGTTCTCCGAGGCACCGTTAACGAATTATTAACGAAAACAGTGACTTTCGAGTTGCGAGACATTTTTGGGACACCCTGTATATATACATTCCTCTCTCTCTCTCACTCTTCCTAAATATATATATTTCTCTCTCTCTCTCCCTAAATATCTCTCTCTCTCTCTCATATATATTTAGGGAGAGAGAGAAGTATAAAGAGAGAGAAATAGAGAGAGAGAGAGAGAGAGAGAGAGAGAGAGAGAGAAAGAGTGAGAAATATCTCTCTAGTTAGTTGTGTTTGAAGAGTATACTCGTCATGGAGAAGTGGCAGTATGTTGAGTTATGACGAATATACTCGTCATGGAGAAGTGGCAATATATTTTGTGTCACGACAAATATACTCGTCACGGAGAAATAACAATATTTTATGTCACGACGAGTATACTCGTCACGAAGTAATAACAGTATTTTGTATCACGACGAGTATACTCGTCACGAAATAATAACAGTATTTTGTATCACGACGAGTATACTCGTCACGAAGTAATAACAGTATTTTGTATCACGACGAGTATACTCGTCACGAAATAATAACAGTATTTTGTATCACGACGAGTATACTCGTCACGAAATAATAACAGTATTTTGTATCACGACGAGTATACTCGTCACGAAGTAATAACAGTATTTTGTATCACGGCGAGTATACTCGTCACAGAGAAGTGACAATATGTCATATCCCGACGAGTATACTCGTCACGAACAATTATTAACGAAGTCGTTAACTCTTTATAAACTAAAACCGTCTTTCTGATCCAACATTTTAACAACAACGCTCACTCCGTGTTCGACGAGTATACTCGTCGCCGCTCGATTCTCGCGACACATAACGTTCTCGCGCGCTCTGAAGCGCGGCGGCGCCGCCGCGGGTAACCGGTGAACCGCATCGCCGGTTCGTCTTCGGGCCAGCAAAAGCGCAGCGTGCCGCATAGCGTTGTTTTTCGTTGCGCCGGGATGATTACCTGTTGTCGGTGCCAATATTTACCGAATGTCTCAATGAATTCGTTTCGCGGTCGCCGCACAATGCCGTCTGCGTTACTTCATTGAACCAATTCGGGTCGCCTGGTCGGCCATGTAGGGAGGGAGGGAGGGAGGGCAATCGCGGACATTTATGATTTCGGCGCGTGTTTGCGGTTAGCTAATTGCGGTGTAAATATTTAGCAAACCGTGGCGGTGCAGGAGGGAGCGAGAGCAGGGGGGAGGGGAGGGGAGGGGTGCAGAGTTGGCGTTCTCTCGAAGCTCGAATTCGTCGCAGCGCGAGCGAGCGAGCGAGCGAGCGTGCCCGCCGCCGCTTGCAAGCTCACGCACAAATGACGCATATCCATTCCGTGCACGAGTGCGCGCTGCACCGCGCAGCTTGGATCGATATAGTCGTTACCGAAGTAAACGGATGGATTACCAGCCGAGTGTGCGATATAACTTTTTCATCGCGGCTGAGGGACACCCCCGGGGAAAGTCGAGTGTCCCGGCACCCTCGACCCGGTCTTCTATTGGTTAGCACCGAGGTGGCAAAGATCTCGCCACCCTCCGCCAGTCCGTTTAGAACAAATGCGCTTATTTAATTAAGCCACTTACGGTTGGTAAGTGGAAATGGAAACTTACACTAATGGCGCTCGGCTCGGGTGGGCTCGGCTAAAAAAATACTTGCATGTCTTTGGGAACTGTTTTATAATATGATACAATGTTTCTATATAGTTATTATTATATTATAGAATTATATATAATAATAATATTATAGAATTATATATTATAGAATTATTTATTATTAATTTTTAATCATTTTTCTTCTTAATAATTTAATTAATTTATAATAATTTATACAATTATTATAAAGCAAAGCAAATATAGAACAGCGAAGATACGAGATGAGTTTACAAATACTGTTGCATTATCATCGTTGTAATGATGTCATTAAAAGGAAGAAATACATGTTTATTTAACTTCTGTTTTATATAATCGACGAGGAAACTTTTTATTTTGCACAAAAATACCCGCAGTCTACTTATTATAGGTAAGAATATAATAATTAACCCTAATCCTATAATAATTAACACTCGAATGGTAACTCTAAGGCGTGATTGAAAATTGTTATGTGTCACATTTCAGAATATTTTTAACATTATGAAATTTGTTTATATTTTTAAAAAAACTGTTAAAAGTGTAACCGTCGCACAAGTTATAAAATACAATTTTATACGTATAAACGGATGAGAAATAAAATTATTTCCATAAAATGGAAATATCATAGGTCAGGAAAAGTATTTTGAATTTCGAGTTAAATTTCAAAGGGTTGACATATTTTGCGCGGGTCACAGATCGAGCTTCACTGGCACGCCCAGCGGGGAAAGATCGGTAAAATTGGAAAAAATTCACTTTTCAAAACAGAAAACATTTAACCAGGTTTTTTAGATTTTCCAAAGGAGGACTATTTCAAATATATAACAAAATAAAAAATGTGGGAAAGTAATACCTCATCCGCACATAATGTGTTAACATGAAAATACAGTAGAATTAGTAGATTGAAAATATCTCAAATTTTTCCAGTTACTATAATATAATAGAAATACGTGGTTTTTACGAATCTGTTTTTTTTTGCATTTTACGCACATCATAATTGTTTCATTGTCGTTAGTTTACGAACAATATTTGTATTTCGCTTTTTCGGTCGGCTTTTGAGGTACAGTATTCGCTTTATCGGATTGTTGTCGCTTCGATGATTCATCTGTTCATCTCTCAATTCATTCAGGAACAAACGCATTCTGTACAATTTTCTATCATTCCAAGTTGCATCAACAATTGTTGCTAATAACAAAGCCATTGTATGTAGATACACCAAGGATACTGTAAAATGTGACCTAAATAATTTATAAATCGCGGAAACTTCACGTGAAGCCTCACTATATCGACTTTATTTATTTATGT